ACACACACACACACACACACACACACACACACACACACACACACACTCACAATACACACACCCACACACACACACACACACACTCACAATACACACACACATACTCACAATACACACACCCACACACACAACCACACACACTCACAATACACGCACACACACACACACACATACACCCACACACAGCCCGCGCTAATACACAGAATACACAGAATACACATCCTTATGGGGGTTCTCCTGGCCTAGAGATTAAGGTGTTGGCCTCTCATTCAAAGGTCCAGGGTTCGAATCCGTGTAGCGAACAAAAAATTTCTTTCTCTAAACTTGTCTCCTTTCACCTCCTTTCCTACTCTCTAGCAATCTTCTGTCGTCTACTTTTGTCTCCTCTTTCTGCCTCCATCCCCTCACCTCCTTTGCCCCCTCCTCTGGGCTCCAGACTCCTTCTGCAACATTTCTACTGCTACTCTTTGGCTCCTTCTTACTGCTGTCTTTCACCCTACTACTACTACTACTACTACTACTACTACTACTACTACTACTACTACTACTACTACTACTACTACTACTACTACTACTACCACTGCTACCACTGCTACCATTGCTACCACTGCTACCGCTGCTACCGCTGCTAACGCTGCTAACGCTGCTACCGCTACTACCGCTGCTACTGCTACTACTGCTGCTGCTACTACCGCTGTTACCGCTACCGCTACTGCTACTGCTACTGCTACTGCTGCTAATGCTACTGCTACTGCTACTGCTGCTCGTCTGTCCTTACATAACGCTGGTGGAGTGATGAAACCTCGTAACCCTCAATTTTTTCGAAAATCGTTTTTTTTTTTTTTTTTGCCTTAAAATGTCTTCTCCCAGTCCTTCATATTGTGTCAAAAGCAGTAGGTTACACTATAAAGATAATACTTACTTTTAAAAAACCTCGTATATTTACCCCCATGATATCCTGGCGTGATGAAACCTCAAAACCCTCACCTGGTGCGCCGATCTGCTTTTGCGTGGTTTCATCACTCCCGTTTGAGAGAGTGGTGTGCTTATACGAGGTTATGGATAAGCTTTCTTTATGAATTGACTTAATGGAAGCACTCGTAATTGACATTTTCTGGCACATTTAACATGCCTGACTTAATAAAGAAATGTTTCATTCATTCATCCATTTTATTTTAGTCAGTTCAGAAATTCCAATATGGTCGTAAGTGAAGGAATTACATTATGTAAATCTATTTGAAATCGTTTTATAGGGATGACTAACGCACTGGTAAACAAGATGTTCTCATCAAGCACAAACGTAGTTAACACTTAATTTAAGGCAACAGTCACACCTTGAAAAGACATGTGACAATAGTTCTTGCTAAGAATAAGTGACAAGTCTATGCACTCTCCAGATGCCACCTGGCCATTTTGTTTATCAAAGAGAGGGTACGGTTTCACCCCTTCTCCAACTATGAATCCGCTGATTAGTCGAATCCTTCAGTTGTGGTTGAGACCAAGTAGTACTGAACTTACCCATGTTCTTCTTGACCATGAAGTCTATAGAGGACATTGTGACAAATGTGTGCCTCAACAATACAAGTGATATGGACATTTACGTATCTGTTTTGAATACCCCCCCCCAACTGTGCTCGCATCACCTAGATTTTTACACCATCCAAGGGCTGGTTTTGGAAACCACTAAGCAGACCCCGTTCCATGGATTGACTCCAGCTACCATGTCGTAGTCCTTTCCCGGGATGTGCCTTATAAGTGGAGGCAAGGAAGTATCAGCATCATCCCAGACTGAGTCTGCACCAACATCAGTGTCGCCTGGAATCACGCCCCAAACCATACTGACGTTTCCCCGGGCAGCTGTAAGTCAGCTGCTGAATTATTACCTGCGGAGTCATAGCAACATGATCTACAAACCACATTCCTAGGTCCCTCTCACCTTCAGGCACCTTAGCCACTTATCCTGGAGCCTGATTCAGAAACACAGCTCATTTGGGATGCCACAGAGGAAAAGAAAGGGTTTTCAAGGGTGGCAACAAATACGCGAAAGGCCACCCGTGGATGTGGTCAAGAATACCAAAATGATTTAATGAAAAGCCCAGCTACGTCACTGAAACCAAGCTGTGATTGAAAGAGCTAAACTCTGAATTGTACAGGGCTCTCGAGGAAGACAGACATTCTAATTTTTGTGTGTGTGTGGTCCCTCTCATGGGATGAAAACAATGTCCCTTTATTGGACTAGTGGGCATAGACAAACCTCAGAGGAGGTATTCAGAAACTAACCAGACAGGGCATACCTTCAAATACACATTCAAAAAGGTGGTCATAAGGTGCCCGTGTGTAAAAAGATGTCCCTGCATTCAACTGGGTTGAGTGAATGATTTGTAAGAAACATTTAGAACCAACCATCAAAGTAACTCAGATATCTACAAAATGTATGCACAATTTTGCCAAGACCATGGGAGGCAGCCTCTTAAACAGACCCCCCCCCTCAATGAAACAATCAGGCAGAATAGCCTGTCTCTGTTCATGCCGAAGAAAGATATGTGCGACCTTTGCATTATCCGTAAAGTTGGCAACGTGCTGAGGATTTTTGGAATGCTCACATTCTAGAAAAGGGGCAGCGCGCAAGGAAAAAGAACGAGACAAATCTGAAGCCATCAAATATTTCGCCAGTGATGAACCTAAAACAGCGCATGTTTTCTATGGATCTTCAGTGTGTGCTCCTTACACCCAAACTGAATGCATCAGCCCTATGTTACAAAAGAAAGAATGTCGTTCATAACTTTATACTATTTGAAGCTGCAGCACTTCAGACTACTTGTTACGAGTGGCATGAAGCAGATAGGGGACTTAGCAAATAAGTTTGCTTTATGTCTACTGAATTTTTTGAAGGAAAAGCTGTACTTCCAGAAAACCATCATCGGCAGCGACTGCTGTGGTTACTAATACAGAAATGCCACACTAGCCAATGTTTCTCTCCGCTTTTTTGCAATAACACATGGTAGCACAACTGAACAGAAATAGTTGACCAAAGGACACACAAAATGTAAGTTGACTGTGCACTCAACTATTGAAAGATCAGTTCGAAAAGCACGTATCAAAGTCCCCCTACACTACCTCCATTTCTTCAGGATGGCAAGAGCAAAACCAGAAACTTATCAAAACGAATATTTGGATCACACATTATTCTAAGTGTGGGAGCTACAAGTCTATCAGACCATGAAGAAACACAGGTGATCCTGTTGTCACCGACATCAGGTGTTTGAAGTACACTCCAGACATGAACATCCAGTTCAAGCTGCACTTCAGTGGTGAATGGGCTGACGTTCCGAAGGCAGATCACAGAAACATTAAGTCCATCCTGCTACACCACAGAACACAGAACGTCTTAAAATCCAGCACTCCCAAGTACAATCACCGGCAGGAACTTGAATCTGTTATTTCCAATATACGTCATCTCTTTACGACAGTTTACCCTGTTAACATTTATAGCTATTCATTGGGGGGGGGGGGGGGTTCAGTCCCAGACATCGTACTGATCTTTTGGGTTGTTGGTTGTTTTTTTTGTCGGCACGTACGTTATGTATTTTCATAATTTCCCCCATTAGTATTCATGACTCACCACCTTTTGGTTTGATTGACATCCTCCATTCGTTTTTCAAAGCATTTTGTTGTGTGCGTTTGGGTGTGTGTGTGTGTGTGTGTGTGTGTGTGTGTGTGTGTGTGTGTGTGTGTGCGCGCTTGTGTGTGTGTGTGTGTGTGTGCGTGTATTACATTATTTTCATAATAAATTTTGTAATGGACTGACGCTTTAAAACTTTGAAAACTTTCCATTTTGAAAACCATCTGCAGTGCAACCAGAGACCATATTGCAGAGATATACTATTCATTTGTACTGTTTTTGTAAAATGGAAGTAACCAGATCTATTCCTGGCAAATTATATTGAAACAGATTACACAAATCGCTGATCCGTTTGAGGAATCAAACCCAAATCCTGCAGGTAACACACTTTTATTTGACTTCAGTTGGCCGGGATTCTAACTCTAAACTAATTAGTCTTGAAAAAAACATCTTTATCACTTTGTGGCATTCCAAACTACAGACGCATACTTCAACCAAATGAGCTGCGAGAAAACTCGCAACCCTCAAACTCTGTCCTGATGAAACCTCGCAACCCTCCCGCCGGCTGACTACGAGGTTTCATCACGACAAAAATGTTGTAATGAAACCTCGCATCCCACAGCATAACCATTTAACCCGTAGAAAAGTGATTTTTTGCACTAACCACGTTTCTAACGTGTTTTCATTTATCTGTACCAACTTTGGTTCATATAGATCATTCTGTTCACGAGTAAATCAATTTTCTGTCTCTCCTGTAAAATTTTCCTTTCTGGGGTTACGAGGTTTCATCACTCCACCAGCGATAACTAACTCACCTGCCAGCGCGAACATCGAAGAGTACACAGCCATGAGCCATGACGTCCAGATGACGTCACTTCCGTAAGTGCTCTGAACAGCCACGTTCAAAACCCCCACATGGTAACATATAGCTCCATTCACCAGGAAATTCAAACAGGACATTGCAAGCACCAGCCATTTGTCCTTGCTTTCTTCGTTCCCTGTCATTTCTACAAGTTTGGCCTCAAGTCGGCTTGTGGCCGACCGATCGTACAGCAGCTGTTCCTGGTTGGCCTATCAAATGGAAAGTAATCACGCAATAACGTGCAGAAAAACGGCGTACATAGTGGGTACCCCACCAACGCACACAATATTATAATAAAATGTGTATTATAATCCATTGTGACTGACTAACAAAGTAGAGCTTAAATACAGAGGGTTCTGTCGTTAAAAGAAAACCATGTAGCTTCTATTGAGGTCAAAACAATATTCTGTTTATATTGCAAATAAATCTACATAATAATATTATCTAATTTTATTGGCAAAACGAGAGTCAGAAAGAAGGAGGGGGAATGAGTTTGATGAAAAGACAGAGAGATGAGAGGTAAGTTAGTGAGAGAGAGTGTAGAGGAAGGAAGAAACAGACAGAGAGGGGGAGTAGATAGAAGATAGGGAAGGGGGGGGGGCTGTGTGTGAGAGAGAGGAGGGGGGGGGAGAAAGAGAGAGGGGGGACAGACAGACAGACAGACAGACAGACAGACAGACAGACAGACAGACAGACAGATAGACAGACAGACAGACAGACAGAGCGACAGAGCGACAGAGCGACAGAGTGACAGAGAGAGAGGGGGGGGGGGGGACGAAATGTCGTTCACTGAAGAATCAATTTTTAGCAAATAATAACAAATGAAAAGATTACTGCCTCACCTTAGGAATCCGAGTGACTACCATTTTGAGCTGCATGCAGTAAATGTTCAGTGTTTAAATTGGTTCCCATGGTAGCTCCTACGTAAAACAACAGGGCGTCTTTAAAGTGCCAAACCTTGGCTCATAAATTTCGTCAGTTTGGACAATTTTAATCGTTCCAATCTGTTAAGTTCTTTTTTGAATGCTCTCCTGCTTTTATTATATTTTCTTTGATACACTTTCCTGAGTGGGAAGAAATGTTTACTGAGTATCTCGGTCATTCTGTTGAGATGCTGTATCTCTCCCAATGAGTCAGTCTGGGTTGGTCCTGACAGACATGGTCGTAGCCCGCCTATTTAATTATCTAAATTGTGTCGATGGGGGAGTAAAAATACCCACATTTCTAAAACATTGTTTGATACAGCATTCATCTGCATATTCTTTTATACGGTGTCTCTGTTCAATTGAGGATCAAACTGTTTTTTTCATAACTGATTCGTTGCTTCATGACGCCATCATCCAGAATATAGTTAAATAAAAACCAAACCACAGGAATAGACTGACAATGATAGCACAACACAGCAAGCGAGGTAACGACAACGTGTTCACTTACGACACCCAAACAAAACTGTCACGATGAAATCGTGAAAAATAAAATAAAACCTACAAAAATAAAGCATCAATTTAAAAAAGTCACGTGCGAAGTCTTCCTGTTATTTTGGAAACGCTGATCCTGAATTTGAAATGTATTCTTTAATCATCTGTTACGATGTGACTTAATAATCTGCGAAAAAAATTTTAACATACATTTTAGCCCTGGCGGAAGAAAGATAGTCTTAATTTAAAAAACATGCGGATGTGCTTTATTTTAATTGCGTGATCATTACCTGATAAGGAGAGTCAAGACACGGCTATCTACCATTTAGCCAGGCACAATCGGAAATACCACTTAGTTGAACAAGGCCGGGCTTGAAAATAACCGACGGGGCGTGGCAACCCGTGCAGTGATGTTGTCGTTGGACAAATAATAAAAAGAAAAGAAAAATAATGTTATAGTATGTTCAGACAACGCGCAACTAAAAGAGATCTATGGCTTCACAGGAGACAAATTATGCAATGTGTTAATTAATTTTTCACGGGTTTAAATCTAAATCTGCTGACCACGCAGACTGATGTATTGCTAAGTTGTATCATTTTTCTGCGCAGTTTTATTTTTTCTAGAGTTCATGCACATTGACTAAAGTGCTTGATCTCTATTGATTTCGCCTGTCTTAATTTTTTTTTTTACGCAGTCTCAGTGGGGCCTGTGAAAATGAAAAGCCAGGAGGCTACTTCTGTCCCCGAAGTAAGTCTGAAAGTATAGACAACAACTGGTACTGACTTAAGGTGCTCCCCTTGATTATAATAGATAATAACCAAAATCCGCTTTTATTGATCCCCGTGGGAGAAATTTGGTTTACAAAGATGTTACGTAACATTATACATACATAAATACAGTACATGGACACATACACACGGAAACATACATATATATATATATATTGTAAACAAACACGCCATTGCTGGTCAGCTCTGTGCAGCGCCCTGGGTTTGGGGGGGGGGGGGTTGGTTGGTTGATGATGTTTTTTGTTGTTGTTGTTTGGTTTTTTTGTTTTTTTTGGGGGGGGTCTCTGTTTTGTTCTTTTTTTTGGCGGGGGTGCTTTTTGGGTTGTTTTTTGTTTTGTGTTTGTTTTTGTTTTTAGCAAGTGTTATCGTGTCATGCTCAAGGACACACCCCAGTGACCATCCACCTAAACGCCGTGTCACCGACGTAGGCTTGACAATAATTTAGCTTCGTGGTTTCCCGATAATTTCTCTTGGTAATTCATCAACAGTATTTGTGTCCTTATGCAATGAATTATTTTTTTCTTTTCTTTTCTTTTCTTTTTGTGACTTGTGTGAGCAGACAAATTAGTAGTCAAATGTCCAAGGATACTATGCTCGACTCATTGTTTTGGGTTGTGTTTAACCATCAATAACAATCCCCCCCCTCTTTCTCTCTCTCTCTCTCTCTCTCTCTCCCTCGAATTATACAAACCGCAATATTTCTACACAGTCTGGTTATTAAAGAGGTGGGACAAGATTGAGCCAAATGGGAAAATGCGTTTAAAGTGCCTTTTCCAAGGGCCTCGAACCCTAAAACCCTGATCCCGTAATCTCATCTTTTAAAATTCATTTATCATACAGCCAGGCCCGGCCAGGATTTTCCTTCATGGAGGGGTAAAAGCTGCCATTTTGACACAATAAAATTTGATCAAACCACCCAAAAACAGTCATGTCTGACTTTAGAGAGTTTTTATCAAATTAATTATGATTCAAAAACGGTAGCTTTTACCCCACCATGGAGGACGGCTGGCCCTGACTCTTTTCAACTGAATTCGTTTGGCAATGTGCACTAGGCATAAGCAAATATCGTACGAACTTTGATAAGTGTGCACTTGGTACAACCACAAGAGCACCGACGCCACGCCACATTTTGGTGGCCGTGCTCCTACTGAGAATGTCTCTCGTTTGTGTCAATGTGAGCCTGAGATAATACTCCCAGGGGTCATAATATACATTTTTTTGTAAGCACGTTCTGGCTGCCAGTAAGATTTTTGTAGGCCGAGTGTAAAAAGGCCAATATGTGTGAAACATGTTTTTGTGTCAGCAATTTTTTTCTGGGCTTGTGTGTGTGCGTGTACGCGTGTGGGTGTGTGTGTGTGTGGTGGTGTCATTATCATTAACCACTATGCTCTGTGCTAAATTATAAATAATATGCAAAAGGGGTTACTTTTAAAAAGTATAGTAAACCCCTTTTAGTTGCCTGAAACCAGAGAACTATGACTATATGGAAAGTATAAACACAGCACATCGATGAAACTTGACGGGTTTATGAACGCACAGTACTGAGTTAAGTGTCGCTTGAATAGTATAGCACATGTATCAGTAGTATTTTACATGTATGTGATACATAGACGGGCGGGAGAGAGAGCGGCAAAGAGAGAGAGAGAGAGAGAGAGAGAGAGAGAGAGAGAGAGAGAGAGAGAGAAGGGGA